AGAGATGCTAAAATAAATGCGCGGGTCCTACAGAAAGCGAATGATGCGATCTCCCCCATGGCTGGGGTGCTGCGGCCTCTCAGGGTCCCTGAATCAAGGCAAGAAAGGCACACACCCAACAATTTTCTTTTATTTGGACAGTCTGTAGATCTGGAAGCCCTGAAGGAAGACCTGGAAGCTGGGGTGCTCCTAGCCTGGAAGCGATGCCCCCTTCCCGTGATCACGCCCCAGGTAGGGGTCAGGTCGGGGTCATGGTTACTTCTAAGGAGTTGGTAGAGGAGCTGGAGAAAGCTGTTCTACTGACCCCCTGGGGAGCTGTGTGAATCCCCTCTGGGGGCAACTTCCTCTGCATGCCAAGAGCAGCTTTTGTTCCTCTAGTATTTACAGATACATACTTAACCTTACTCGTCACAATCATTGATAGCACTATGCAGAAAACACTCAAATGCTACAAGGACAGGGCCTTGCTCTGTGCTCTCTACATCCTAATATCCGGATGGTGCCCAGCATGCAGTAGCCCCTCAATAAATGTTTGCAGTATACTTGGACAAATTCTGCCTCAGGCAACAGGTGCACCAGTTCAGTAAGGGCTTTTTTTCAAAATCATTTACAATAAAAAGTGAACGCACACACATTGCCTTGAGATACTTCAGTGAAGTTTTCGGGGGTTTCCGTCACTCGTTGCCTGTAGACAAGATTGACAGAAGTGGCTGCTTGGTGAGATCAGAAGCCGTTCCTGCTCTCTTTTATGTCACAAATCTTTGGATGCGGTGGACTTCCTTAAACACGTCACTGCACATTAACTCACAAATGACTCTGAATGTACAGAGGATCCTTTATGGGCAGTGGCAGTTCCTGAATTTCCATTGCGGATGAGCTTGGGACACCAAGGCAAATGGAAGTGTGGTGATTTGGCACTTCCGCTAAGAATGAGAAAACGTCGTGAGCGGAACTGGGCAGACAGATGCTCAGGACTGAGGTCCTTAGGGCCATTCCTTTTGCCTTACTGCCCATGAAAATACCTGGGGCATTAAAACAATATCAGTACCTGCGCTCCAGCCCAGAACAACTGAGTCCAACTTTCTGGGACATCAATACTTGTGAAAGCTCCCCAGTGATTTCTGAAGGGCAAACAGGTATGAGTGTCCATGCGTACCCCACTGCAGGTCGTGAACATCAGGTAAGCACTTATTTCTGCAGATTAAAACCTCAAAGACACATAGGGCACCTCACTACTCTTAAAGCTCAGGCTAATGTTAGTCATTATTTCTCCATCTCTTAGGTATCTTATCTTCTCATGTAACCCTCACAAGAGCCCTACCAGATAACTGTGGTGTTACAAAAGATGTCGAGGCCAATGGTTTGCAGCACCAGCTTGTTCTACGTGCGATGTAGAGCAGGTTACTTAACGTCTGTGAATGTTGGTTTGATTTTGCATAACATAAGAATGACAACACGGGTCATACGCAGTTACTAAGGCAAAGGCAGGGGACACCTAACAGTGCATTGTTCGCTCCATTCTTTCTGACAATAACACGCATCAGGAAGGAAAGGGCATTGTCTTTTCTGTAGTATATTACTTTTGTAAAACCTCTGGATGCAAAATTCTGTCTGAGTCACCACAACTCATTGTCACCACGTCCTTTACAAAATGACTAAGAACTGATAAGAAAGACTATGGCGCTCTCAGGAGGGTCCCAGGCGTTCTGGGCAGAGCAACAAACTCTTTGCCTTGGAGAGGGTCATTCATTCTGTCGTGCCGATGACACCGCTTAGCTGATTCATGCTCTGATGTGGGTCACGAAGACCCCAAGTTCTGCTTTTCAAATGCCAGAAAAGTTCAGCCTGGCTTCATGACATTTTAGCATTCTTTTTCTACAACAGATTGCTCGCATCTCTCCAAAGCTTCTAGTAAAACACCTTTTTTTGACTTTGTATTAAGATTTTTAAATACAAGCCAAGGAAGCGCTGATGTTACAGGTGAAATAATTTGCAAAGGCTTAAGTGCAAGGCAGAAGCCAAGGCTTTTGTCCTGCCTCCCCTGCCATCCAATCCTGATGTCCTGTGTTAGCACTTTGACCCGGCCTTCTCCAGTTTTGCTCCATGAGCAAATTAGAGCAGACAACGCAATGTGAGAAACAGAGTAACATATTTCCAACTTTTCACAATCATTTTCATCACTGAATATGAATGGATTGGAGTTTCTTAAGTGGAACTTTTTTGTGGAATCTTTGAGCTGGAAGAGACGTATTGGGACTAACGGGCTCATTTTTCAGGTGAAAAAAACCTGAGGCCCAGAGCGTTCCAATGCGTACGTTAAGGCTGCACAGTGGATGACAGGGGAAGGGCCAGAAAACAGCTCCCCTGATCACCTCCCCAGGCTTCTGATCAAGGCAGGAAGACTTGAGGGCACTGTCTTGCACCCTGTGGTTTCTTCACTCTGGAGATAAAAGCTGGCCAAGACCCAGGCACAGAGGGGCCCTCCATACAGACAGACTCACTTTATCTCTTCAGTGCCGCTTCAACACTGCTGACGAAAGCATTCAAGGGAATAAAGTGACTATTATATAAGCAAGACATTTAAGTGGCAGATGCTCCTGAAGAGGGGGAGGAAATACAAATGTGTCCTGTAATACCATAATCAAGTCATTTAATCCCTCTAAATATTAATATCCAGAAATCAGTGGCAATAACCCTAGATACCCAGTTATAACATGACTGAAGCTAAAGGCACTTGCAAACTTTATTTTGTTATACGAGTAATTATATATCCACATTTCCATAATGTGTTATAGCTTGTAAGACATTTTCATATGCATCGGCTTATTTCATACTGAAAACAATGCTGTAAAAGGAAGGTACAGACACTACCCTTTATAAACGAGGACAGGCCAAGTGTTCCTCCAAGGTCACACAGCTAGTTAATGGCAGCTCTGGAACCAAACAGAGCCCCTCGACTTCCAGCCCAGGGCTCTTCTAGTATTTGATGTGCATTGTTTGTATTATATCAACTAAGGTTCAAGTGCTCTTCTCCACCACCATGGAGAGACAGCCTGCAAAGGGGGCCATGAACTAGATACTCCACACACCATTCAGAGAGGACTGCTACTGAATGAGAGCCTAATAGCTGCCTCCCCTTCCTCTGCTGTCAGTCACTGATCTGCAAGCATAAAACGGGGGGTGTGGCTATGGGGTAATGCACAGGGTATTTGAGGACTTGGGATTCAGTTCTAGCTCTTTAGCTACTTTCCTGCAGTTACTGATCCAAGATCACACAGCTCAAGTTCAAATGCCAGCCCTTGGCATACATAGTCTTTGACAATTGGAACCCAATGGACCTTCCCAAGTTCTTTACCACGTTCTACTAGCATCTAAGCTGCTGAGCTCTGTGGTCTCACCAAGCTGTGCAAAGCCCTCTGGCACACTATGCAGTGTAACACCTTCACACCTTTGCACATGGCACTCTATTTGCCCAGACACTTTCCCTAACTCTGAGCCTAAAAGTACAGACTTACTCTGCAAGACCCAGCTCAAGCAAGTACTATCTCCTTTAGGAAGATTCCCCCAGTGCTCCAAGGCAGAGTTCACATTTGTTTTATTTTGTTTTTTTGTTTTGTTTTATGTGCATCTGTTTTTACAAAGCACTTAGGCAACTGCCATCATAAGCAGATGCAGAAACTGTATCCCTAAGTTTTAGGAGTGCCTGAAGGGTAGGGACTGTCTTATTGGCACGGTGTTGCACAAAGGAAGTTTTCAGTAAGTGGCAGTTGGATAAATGGATGGATGCATGGATGGATGGATGGATGGATGAGTGGGTGGGTGGATGGATGGATGGATGGCAGAATGAATTAGAAGTGTCTTAAGCTCAGTGAGGTGCCATATGGTGACCGGCTAGGAGGTGGAATTTCTGAGTCCTTTCAACCTGGGTTTTTATTGCAGCTGGATGATCTCAGGCACATAGTTTAACCTCCAGGAGCCTGAGCCTCATTCCCTCTAACTGTGAAATCCACTCTCTACCCTGCTGCACTCAGCTGGGAGCCCCAGGAGGCTGATGGATAAAACCCGTGTCAGTGCTCCTCACCCGGCTTCCTGTTGAGCTTGGTCCATGGGAGGCAGCAGCAGGGGATTCAGGGCCCAGGAACGTGAGACGGGGATTTTATTCTGTTCACCACAGCTCCTCCTCCCTGCAGGTCCCTCAGCTGGAAGCCACATCCTCTTTGCAGCAGCACTGCCCCCAGGGTCCCAGTGCCCTCCCTTCCACCTGCAGGACCAGGCTTGGCCCTTCCCTGTCCTCTGTGTAGTTCCTATGCCCTGTCCACCCTTTTGAAGTGTTCTCTTTATTAAACTCTTCTGGGGTGCCTAATTTGAGGGTGCCACCCGTTTCTTGCTGGAGCCCTAACTCACACAGCGGGTCTCAGGGTCTCTGTGTAGATTAAATGTGATCGTTGATGTGATGCCCTCATTGACCACTCCCAGGGTCTCCGCTGCTAATTTACTTGGTCCAGGGGGCTAATGATCTCTCCTATGAGGGTGAATACAAACCAAGTAAAACGCTGCATTCTATGTGAGGAAGTATACAAGTGTAACTCCCAATAAATATTTCATGGCCAAGTCACACTTGGAAAGGAAAAGCGTCCCTCCCCTACACGCAGACGCCCCAGAGCACAGCCAGCGAGCCGGGCTAACCGCCCCAGGTGCCCAGGGGAAGCACACAATCACACACCAGGGAAGGCCAGGCTACGGATAGGCTTGCTCCACTCCCCGGGGCAGATGGGATGAATGTTGACAGAAAGGGGACAGCCTGTCAGGGAAGAACTCCCCACCCCCACACCACTCCAGAAATAAACCCATTATTGACCTGGATTGATTGACTCTCTCTCCGTCGCCTCCCCTAAGCCGGCCTCTGTATCCCATTTTAACAAGCAGCGACAGTAACAAGTTCACCAGGATTAAAACATGATGGGTGAGGCCCACTAATGGGTTTGCTTTTGTTTCCACAGGCTGATTTGAAGATCCCTCTCATTTGCCGGGTGCCAAGAACTATGAACAGACAGTAAGTACCTCCGTGTCACTGTGAGCCTGAATCTCCCAGCAGGAAGAGGACTCAGGTCCTAGAACATGAACTAAGGAATGATGCTAACGTGCCCGCCATGGGAAGGGCATTTCCAGGGTCAAGGCCATGCCTGAGAGGCCAGGCTGAGGATGTATGCACCAGGGATCAGTGTACCCTGTCCCAGTAACAGCATGTTTTGGGGAGCAGGTCAGTGGTCGCCCAGCACAGGAGTGTGGTTGGAGCAGGGATGAGCTACCCCAGCACCAGAATGCCCAGAGGGCACCCAGAAATACCATCTATCATTTCACACCCCGATGCATAAAGGTAGAACTAAAAAAACAGTGGTTTGCACACTTGTTTTTACAGCAGAGAACCTAGTACCCAACTTTTTTCTTGTAGAACCCCCAGAGTGAGTGATGCGGTTGGTTTAGGATTTCCAAATGTGTACCTGATCCAGCAAAATAACCCATCCCATTCCTGGTGTCTATGAAAATAGTAAAAAGATAGCAGGCCTCCATGTTGTAAGAAATATTTATAATGGAAAAAGAAACCTTTAAATTGATAAAATTAGGTGTACTGATTTTAAAATTAATCTACTTATCTATTCACTTGCTTTATTTTGCCAACTGGAAAGATATCACTGTTATTCTCCTCTGTGCAAAACGAGCAGCAGAGTGGTTGTGTGAGAAAAAACAACGTGAGCTCTAGAGTCAGGCAGACCTAGGGTAAATCCTGCGCCGTCATTTGACAGCTGTGTGATATTCAGGAAGTCACCTAACCCTCTGGATCTTGGAGAAGTTACTTTCCTCCCTCTGGAAAGGAGAGGCTGGCCTCGGAAAGGAGGACCGCCTGGTCACCTCCCAGAGGGGGCCTGGGGCAGCACAGGGCAACCTGGTGATACCTGGGCCCCACGGGTGAGCACTGGGTGCAGGGTTGGTGTCCAGGGTGACACGGAGGCAGCAGCCCCAGTAGTGCAGCTGCTCCAAATGCCCACAGGTGTCGAGGCGGGGCGGCCTGACGCACAGCCAGGTCCCTGGGTGCAGATGCTGGGCCTGGCGCTCTGCCTCTTGCTATGAGTGTGTGTGGGGGCTCCCTGGCGCCGTCCACAGCCAGGCTCCTTGCCTGACCCAGAATCTAACGTGTAGGGCACTTCCTCTATCTGGGGTGCCGGACCCCTTCTCCTCTTTGACCTACAGCAGGGCTGAGTGGCAGGCTCCCCCAGCTGCTCTGAGCATCAGCTTGCTGGTGTCAGTGACTTGTCTGAGATGGCATGGACAGTGGTGATAGACCTGGGGCTGGAATCTGGGTCTGTCTGACTCCAAATCCAGTGCTCCTTCTGCTTATCCCGCCACTGAGGGGAACTGAGGAGGCAAGTTCGGTCAGAGAGGTGTCTGATCTGGGGACGCAGGACAAAGAGCATGAATTCTCACACCCAGGGTCGCAATCGGCAGTGACTGTGGCAGGCGGCAGCTTCACCGTAAGATAAATGAATGGTCTGTGATGGTGGAGGGACCAGAAAGACAAGTGCGTCAGCTTCCTGGAGCCGCCATAACAAACGGCCACAAACTGGGGGGGGGGGGGCTTCAAACAGCCTAAAGTGTACTCTCCCACAGTTCTGGGGGCTAGAAGTCTGAAATCGGGGTGTGGGCAGGCTCATGCCCCCTTCTGAGGCCCGAGGGGACCATCCCTCCTGCCTCCTCCAGCTTCTGGTGGCTGCAGGCGTTCCTGGCTTGTGGCTGCACCACTCCCGTCTCCACCTCCGTCTTCACGTGGCCCCCTCCTCTGTGTCCGTGCCTCCCCTGCTTCTTCCTGTCTCAAATCTCCCTCCTTTCTCTTATGAGTGCATTTATTACTGGTTACTCACCTGGATAACGCAGGATGATTTCATCTCAAGGTTCGTAATGTAATTACATCTGCGAAGACCCTTTTTCTGAGTAAGGTCACAGTCACCAGTGCCAGGGATTTGGACATGGATGTTTTTCAGGACCACCATTCAACCCACTACAGCAGGCTTTGTTTTCAGACCCCTCTCTGGGGACACTGTGGGGTTCCTTTGACAAGAAGCAAGATTTGCTATGTGCTTCCCTCTGGCTTTCTGGTTGAGAGTTCCAGCCTTTAGACCCAGCTTCTGTTTCTCTTGGTGACTCCACCCTGAGCCAGTGGTCTCCTCTATAAAAAGGACAGGTGTCTCCCCTTCATGAGGACTTCAGGTAGCTTTGGTTTGCAGCCGACAGTTGGCCTCTTGACAATTGCTTCTCATCCAGCTTTCCAAAGGATAGCTTTATGATTTCGGCTTTAGAGTCATGACAGATACAAAGCTGCCAATACATAGAGCAGAGGACAGACCACGTCATCATATCTTCATAAACATCTGTTTTCTCCTCTGGGGAGGAGCCACATGGAACCCACACATCTGGCTGTATCACGCCTCAACATGAGGAACCTGACTTGTTAAATCAGCCTTCTTCTTTCCAGAAGCTCAGGGTGTCCTTCTGCTCCCCTAACCCCCATCACTCCCAACATCTTCTCCACTCTTTCCTCCTATGCAGCCTCGATTAGCCAATCCATATGGGATTGCAACTGACTTGTCCTGAAACCCCAGATTTGTGAGGGTCGGCATTACAGTTAGTGCCCCCTCAATTATACAGGCGCACAAGAGAAACGCAGGAACCAGGACCATGTGCACAACTACTAACCTACCCTTTCGTGCTCCGCATCCTATTCTCAACCTCTGTGGTTCACGTCTGCTCTCTCCTCACCTGCGAGATTCTTCCCATCTCCCCAGACTGTGCCTCAGTGGCTGTGGTGTCACCTGGGAAATGCAGCGTCTTGGGCTCCGAAGTCCAGACATGCTGAATCAGACTCTGTACGTTCACAAGATCCCCAGTTGGCTTCGAGTCACGTTCAAGTCTGAGGAGTGCTGGACTAGAACAGTGGTTCCCAGCGCTGTCTCCTTCCCAACACACTCAAGAAGTATTACAATATTCCCCAAGACATGGCTGGGAGAAGGCAGCTACCTACCTTCTGCACCACGCATGAGCGTGGTGTGGAAACGTGTGCTCCACACACACACTCGCACACTCACGCGGGTTTTGTTCTGCCATGCCCTGGGGGGAGCACTCCTCTCCCCATGAAAATCGCTCACCCAGCTAATTCATGGCAGATTTTAAACCCACTGAACATTAGAAACACGAAGGAAGCTCCAAACAAAAGCAAGTTCATTGTCCTTCTCCAGACCAAGAAGTCAGGATCCCGGACGGCGTCTCCTTTTAATGCCCAGCTAATCTACAGCTGGGGTTGCAAAGCGCTGACCTAAGATGTCTTACCATCCCATAACCTGGGGTTTCTTACAACTTTATCACCTGGAATTCGAAATGGTCTTTGTGGCTATGACTAATTCCTTACTGTATCTCACTGAATGAATGAATGAATGAATGAATGAGTAAATGAGCACAACTGAGTGGATGATATTGAGATAGGTTATATATTCACACACATACACACATGTGTACACATGTGTGTCTAGAAACATATTACATATATACACAGTACAAGTCTGTGTACAATTATTTGCTGTGAAAGTATCGGTTCAGTGAAAGCGTTTACTAAGCACACACTCTGCCGGCACTGAGTGAGGTACCCCCCTTATAAAGATGAATGCGAGGTAGTCTGGCCCTCAAAGAGCATGAGGCGTACATTAAGCAAGTCATTTTAGTGACGGGAAAGCGCCGCAAATGCTAAGGGGTCCAGACGTCATTGATTCTAAATTGCTTCTGAAATTAGGAGGCTATTTCACGCTAACGGTCCTGCAACAAAACTCCCGCTTCCATAACAATCCATTGAACTCCATCAGCCTCGTTTCTCGGCGCCTGGGGGCACCAGAGAAGAGCAGGCAGAGGGGCCAACTGCCCCATCACGTGGTCAGGGCCGGATGAAGGAGACCGGGGTGTGGCGTCCAGTAGCTCGTCGTCACTCTAGACAGAACTGGTAAGAACCCCGATGCTGTGGTTCTGGGTGTTTGGGGAAAGACGGAGGTCACTAGAGCGATGACTTCTGGGCCTTTCCAGAAAGCAAACACCCTGCACCGGCCAGGCTGCTTTGGGAAGTCAAAAGAAAAACGCTCTCACACGTCGCGGGTTGAGTGATGGGGGAGCAAGCATCCGCAAAGCGTCCACTTTGAAACACACTGAGAAGGTCTAACAGAAAACTAGCTTTGACCTATGTTCCATTATTCCTAGTCCTCATGGAAATTTTAGAAAATATACAAAAGTACAAAGAAAACAAAACTCGCCCATGATCCCAGCACCCAGAAATAACCACTCATTTGCTGAAGGCTCCTTAAGTCATTTTTCTATATCTTTGTGTAATATTTTAAAATTTCAGGAAACCGACTTTTAAAGCTCATATTGTTTTTAGTCACTCATTATATAATACGGTTTTCTATGCTGAGCATCACCCCATATTACTAAACTTTCTTCAAAACCACGGTGTTTAAAGGTTAGTACTTAAGTAAGTACTTACCCGTAATTCCAAATCTGGAAGGCTTCCAAATATTGGGAGATTTTCGCAACTAATTTGACAGCGAAACTTGACCTGCAGTGAGGTGAAGTTATGTATGTTCTCCATTGATCACACTTAGTGTGAATATTCACATGTTTTTCTGAAGAAATATCAGTGTGTTCATGGCCAGGTATTGTTCTAGAATTTACTGGGGGTATTACATAGTATTCACACAATATTACTTTTCTGAAATCCCAAATATTCCGAATCCCTGGCCCTCCGGAATTTGGATGAAGAATGGTGGACCTGCGTTTTTTTTGTTGTTGTTTTTTTTTTAAAAAGATTTTTATTGGGGAATTGGGGGGATGGGAACAGTGCTGGGGAATTGGGGGAAGGGGAACAGACAAGTTGCTGTCGTCTTGTTCTTCAGTCTAGTTGTGGAGGACGTTGCTTCACAGGCCCAAGTTGGCACCATCATTGCGCTCTTCTCTGGCGAGGCA